TGACACTCCTAATGAGTGAAGAACAGCAGCCTTCACGTCGGCACCAATCCGTGCAGCCCGCAGATGAAAGCGTGCAGGGCTTGACTCATCATCTCGGATCAAAGGAAGCATTGGCCTTTGTAGTGGAGCGCCGCGACCGCCGAGTTGACGGGATAATTATTTGGCAGCGGAGTGGCAGCCCCTTCAAATTACTTTGCCTTGCGATGATGTTCACACAAGGACACAGGCGCATCGTGCGAACCGTTCCCCTGATGCAAAAAGAAACGAAAAACTTCGAAAAGCTCGGCAGTGTATTTACGCATTGCTTAGGATCACTTTGCTGCATTGAAACTTAATAACTTCAACCAGTATGCAGGACTCGAGTGCCATTGCATTTGTTGAATCGTAGACTTTGAAATGACGAGTCGAATTCATGTGAAAGTGTGTTTATCCGTGATTGGACAACATAACTGATGATAACTTTATCAAATGCCGTTACTTTTTTTTTGGTTTTTGAACCCGCAACACAAAACTGAGGTTGTTATGTGGAAACACGTGGACGGAAGCCGAGCCCTCTGGGTCGTTCTCTCCCTCTGAAATGCCTCTTTTTTTAAAAAATGCCACAAATAAAACGCCAGTGAGTCCGGAGTTGACTCGACATGCAGTCGGCGGTTTTCCTTACGATCGCTCTGAACGCATGGGCACACCGACACTGCGATCTGTCCGTACATTGCGCCATTTGTGAAACTCCCGTGACACGGATGGTCAAAGAATGATAACGGAGTGGCAGCCACAGGGTGGAACGGGTTCGAGGGGACGCGCACACGGGGCAGATGCTCTGCATAATTGTTGCATCGCGGGATGAGGATGTTGGTGATGAACCACCCACTCCTCCACAGCACAATTTAAACGACGCTGCTCGCATCAAGCAGTGCCGGTCGAGGTGCAAGCTAGTTTAATGATCGTGTCGCACGGAGTGTCTTGTTATTAAACACTGTTGTGAATTAAATGGCATGCGCTGATGGCCGTTGAATGATTAATAAGGGACGTTCATGAAAGAATGCAAACAAGCAGATCAATATGGGGGTTGATAGAGTCGCCCCCTTTTTTAGTGCTTTGGATGGTTATCATGATCAGACATGGTAAATCTACTGCTGGATGAAGGCCTTCTCTCACGATTATACGATGCCACAATCCACACAGCACCCGCACATTTGATGTTAACCGACAGAAATATACTCGTCGGGTCCTTAATCCTTAATCGTTGTCCGCTGAACGCATTACAAATTGAAGTCAATTAGACACTTTTTGTTGCTGTTCCACACTTCAACTGTGTGATCAGCACGGGTTGTTAAAGGGGGGGTTACCGAGTGCGGTTTTAGATATCACTCGCAACTCCGCTTACCACGGTTGGCTCCGTAAGGTGCGACAGAAGTTCAACGTACACACATATGCCTGATGCTATCTTTGGCCGAGAAATTGAAAGTTAGATCGGCCGACTCAAGGAGACGATCCCAACGTCTCTACCCCTCCCGCCCCCCATTCTGGGCACGTCCTAACCCGCGCAGCCCTTGTTCGTACACAATTATATCTGCGATACTTAGCCGCTCATGTTTATTCCCAATGCAGGGCAAATGCTGTCTCATCGGGTTGATGAAGTGGGAACGGGAAGAAGAGGGAAACATTTTCCTCTCCACCCTCCAATGTGACGAACCCGAAGCATGAGTTGAACTCACTGAGGGCGCAATCGCGATGTACCAGAACTCATTCGTTTATGCAGGAGGTGACGCCAGGCTGTTTGCGTGTCCGTGCGAGAGAGAGAGAGGGCATGTATGTAGACGTGGCTTTAAAGTGCACCTAGCCTGGCAAAGGCGTTACGGTGATGCTATCGTCACTTAGTGGGGAACGCGGTTGTTGTTGTAATAGTTTAAGCTCAACTCATTCTGTCAGTTGGAGCGTAGTTTTTCCAATTGCTTTCTTGCCACACCGGACCGCAACTCGATTGGATCACAAGCTCTCTTTCGTACAAGAGACTTTGTTTCCTTGTTCAAGAGAAAGTAGAATTAGGTGTTTTTGTTACTTTCTTGGAAGGTGGGATGTGTTCTTGGTGATCACACGTGGATTCCATCAAACCACGTTGCGTGCAACCAAAACAACAAGCTTGTCAAATTACACACATGCTCTCGGATAGCGATTACAATTGTGAATGCGTTTACAAGCATTGTGTTAGACGAAGCTGGTGTGGCGTGGGCCAATTTCGGCTTGTGGACACCGCTGCATTGCGGTGTCCTCAAGTGGAATTATTAAATAGAGCTTGAGTAGTTCAGTCAGCCACACGTCCGCAAAACAGAAGTGTGCATGTGTGAGTTGTAAAGGCCAAAATATAATACAAAAGATGCTGCTGTATTTTTGTATGTCATCTTTATTAATGCGACTCTGGGCTCATTTTCATTTTAAATCATTTATATTGCTTGGATTGCATCCTAAACTTGCTCCATCAGTTATATCTGCTGCCTGGGTGGATAGCAATTTTATGCATCTGTGAATTTCATCATGTTTTAATTAAGTGATTAATCTAAAATATTGCGCGCATGAACCAGAATGCATTTGTCTCTTTTAAAGATTGTATTTTTACAGGCTGCTTGCATTACGCTACCTGTGTTTAAACATATACTTGATACCTTTAGCATTCATCAGAGTGGGAACACGTTGGCCCTTTCGGGGCATAATCAACCAGCAGTGTGGACAAAGAAATTAAACTTGCTTCATTAAGGGTGCTGCGTTTACTACGAAAGTTATCTGATGCTGCTTGCCATTTAAAACACACACTTAATGGCGAAAAGGCTAAAGTCGCCGTAATTATTTCCTTACATGCTCAATTAATTTGCAATTCTTTGGCAATTAGGCCATATTTTTGTTGCCTCAAGTTGCTTCGAGTTCCAGTCTTACGATGTGAGAAAACGTGTTAATCATAATATGCTCGTTGGCGTGGTTGGCATCCACAACCGTAGTCAAACAATAAGGCACCATCTGAAAATGGAGGTGTGTCATTTGGAAATACACCATAGTTTGTAATTTGATTTGAGCGGTTTGATGTTAGTTGTTTAGGCTTTGGTGAATTTAACATGAAAGTGACCCTATTAACCCAACAATGGATAACTGTTAACATACGTTCGCAATGGTACACATGACAATGACTTATACAAGTACACTTTACGATGCATATTTTATGCCCAAATATTTGTTAATGCGCGCAGGAATACATTACATCCTTCCGCTGGGGATACTTGGAGGAAAAACATTACCGAGGCATTCTCTGTGATGACATTAACACCAAAATTAGGTTAGACAAGCGTTCGACTCCACCCACCGTGCATTATTAATGAGTTTATTGGCTGCACTTTTAAATAATGCATAAAGGCCAATTGGCATTACATAAAGACAGGGGGTTTATGGTGTTCTAAGGTTTTCAAGGTCAGTTTTTTCTCATATTTCTGTTTTATTTTTTCTTCTTCCAATTTTATCTCAATTCCGCTTTCAGTATCACGTCACTAGACCAATTATTTATTAGAATTTTCCACAGGGCATTACAACCCTTCATTTTAGAGAACGGCACACAGAAGCAGATATCACAGAGCTACCCCTGAGAACCTTTCAAGTGACCTCTGGTCCACAGTGTAGAGGGCAACACTTTCCCCATCACTGCATATAAGAGTGAGGTTTGTTGCATGAAAATCAAACCGATTTTTATTTATTTATTTCAGAACTGGAATTTAGACAAATTAAGTGGATTACCAAATTAAATTTGAATGTTTATTTTAAGATAATGTATGTGTAAATTAGAGAACTGCCTGAAAGCAAGTTTTGTGATGTAAAATTTCATCGGCATCTCAAAAATTTAAATTATTGGTGAGAATAGCCCAAGGTGTGACTTGTTTTTGCCAGGATTTCTGGATTTAGGTTGTAATGAGGGCGGTGGTTATTGTGATAGAAAGTAATGGTTGGAGTAGGTAAGGCCTACATTATTGCTACATCTTTTCAGGCTGTGAGTTAGTGACAAATATATGATGTGATTGCTTTCAGTGGAAACAATGCTTGAAGGTTATTATGTACAGTATGTGGAGATTGTTGTTTTGAAACTGTTTTTCTACGTCACGTAATAACAATGTCTTTTTTTTTATCTGAGTGATATAAATAGTAGCAGATGTTCAATATGGTGTCAATTATTTTCTTCCCTTCACCTGAGATTTTAAATTAATGAATTAATCTAAATCCTCAACCCTATGTGAATACGTTGTTGCTATATTCACGATGGCGGTGGGGGGGGAAGGAGGTGTTTGCTCATACCTCCCCATGCTGATTATATTGCAGGGTTAGTGAAAGGGATAGGCGGCAGGACCGGTTGAGATATCACTCGCCGCTGATGTTATCCGTGACCGGAAATTTAGCTGGTTTCACATTTCATGTGGACTCCGCCTGACTACCATGCCGTCACTCCACACTCTGCCATTGTATTGCAGTGCAATTGTAGTGGGGGGTGAACGGTGGCCCAGCGGTTAGCGCACCGCATCGTCACGTTTGATTCCCAGCCACATCTGTGAAAACGAATGGGAAATCTGTGAAAAAGAGCGTTATAGCTCATCGGATTCCTCCAGCATGAATACATATTCTGATTATGAACATGAGTGACTAGTTATATCTAAACTTTTTCTGTCCCCCCTCCCCACCACCACCACCTCCTCCTCCACTTCACCAACACTCCAATGACCAGCAAAAAAAAAAACTCCACGTACGACATGGCCCAGAAAGGGCCTTCATCCAGCAGTAGATTGATAACAATTTGTCGATACGCATGAAAACTATTTCGAGTATATGTACACGTGCGGTAACAAAATGCATGCCCACGTGCGTGTAATGTGTCACTCTGTGGGTAGCCCCATTCTGTGAAAGAAGTCGGCGTGCAGCAAAGTTTGACGAGCGTCGCTCCCTTGCTCTCTCTCTCTCTCTCTGCGCTGTCCCAGGGCCCCCGGGGCCTCCAGGGGCTGTGGTGGCCGAGGAGGCGACGAGCACGACCGTGCGGCTCACCTGGAAAAGAGGGAGCAACAATCACAGTCCCATCATCTCCTACAAAATCCAGGCCAGGGCTCCAGTGGCGTCGACGGGGTGGCTGAATGTGCACACGTGTAAGTCGTGCTGTGCAGCTGGGCTCTTGCTGGTTGGCACCACCAAGTAAACATCACGTGGACAAATGTAAATGTAAATACAAGTCAAAATATACACATATATATCAAAGTAAATTAAACAATCGGCGGATTAAAGTTACTCCGTGACTTTCATTTCGAATCTATTCGGATGTAATTAATTGAAACTCAACTGATAAAGGGGCCCCTTCTTCTGACTGTCCTGGTGAGATATGTATATATATTTCATTAGCTGATTCAAACCACTCACACACGGAGTGCCAAAATTAAGTGAAAGGGGCGCGAATTGGTAACCTCATCCAATAACAAATAGCTTTTACACGTCGATGGATATCAATTTGCGTTTGGATATTCATATGCAAATGAGCGTCTCCCTCCCTATGATGCCCCCTTCCCACCCACCCCAGCCCTTACAGCCTCAGCGCCGGCACCGCCCCACCAAACATTCGACCCTGCTGCTGTGCCGTTCTCATTTGACACAATCTCGCACGGTCCAGTGCATTGTGGCCTTGCCAGGGCGATGCCCAAATGTGGGATCTATGTTTTCTGTGGCACGATAATGCAGTGGCTCTTTCACAATGCAACTTCAGCACCGCTGCCTCTGGAAATTGACAGAGACCACCGAAGGGCTTACTGGCAATAGCGCCGGTAATGTAATTTATTTTTATATAAAGAAACTAGACATGGTAGTGACAATGTCATTTTATTTTCTGGGAAAAATATCACCGAGTCTTAAGACTCATTGTCATGAGGGTTCTCCTTCGAGTTTGACGATTTTCTTTTTAAATACTTTTATTTTTGCTCTGGGATGTAAAACTGGAGCACCCAGAAAAAAAAAAAACTGCCACGTGCAATAACACATAAACATCCACACAGATGCATAACATAAACTAATTTGCCGTACTGCCAAATGCCCCTGCCAATTTGCGAGTTTCAGAGATCTAAGATTCATCAAACTTTGTCTCCAGCACGCCGGACTATAGGCATTGCACCACTGCACGTCTGTAATCTTTAATCTGCACGTCAGAATACGACTTAAAACACAATGGTTTCCAACGCATTGCTGCGCTATTTGGCAAGAAAAGCGAAGCAACACCTGCTTCATAATAAACGTTTCTTTCTGGGGGTTGGACTGCTTAAATATAAAAATGCCAGAATTCTGGTAAATCTGATGAAGCGGGTTATACTCACTAACAAAACCTCGCACTCAAATTGTAAATGTTGTGGGTTTACACTCCAACACACTGGTATGGTGAAGTATAAACTAATCGGGACGTTTTGTTTACGTGATAAACCTTAATAATTGACTGTGTTGGGTTTTAGTGGGTTAACGACACATTTATATTTACGCGATCTCACCAAAAAAAACCTTTATTATGAATTATATTGTTCGCGAGAGCCTTGGTGTTAAACCAGCACTTGCTTCATGTTTAAATATGAAATACGCTGGCTGGGTCAGCACTGGTGTCACTTCTACCTGTGGCACAATCTGTGTGCATATTAATGCCACTTTTATTGCGGGGGCCTGCATCTGTGTGTGCATATCAACACGATGTCACAATTGCCTGGAGACTACGTAGTGTATAAAGGTATAAGAGGCCCTCAAAATAAAATACTGTATGTGGCAATGGCAACCTTACACTGGCTTGACATTTTTACACGTCGGTTTTGTTTAAGCGTTTGCTTTGATGCGCGGTGGAAATGGGGCATATGTATTTTTACAAGGCGATTCTGGAAAACGATGACCGTAAATACTCGTCCGTGATATATATGCGAGGCTACTGCTATGTAGAATTTATTCGCGGCAGAACTGCTGTACGTTTGTAAGTTTGCATCCAGGTTTTTTTTTTAAACAAGTGCTCTTTGGAGTTAAACGCGTGTTTTTTTTTTTACAGCTCCAGATATAATTTCTGGAGACTCTGAACAGGCCACGGTCGTAGGCCTCACACCTTGGATGGACTACGAATTCACAGTACTCGCCATCAATGCTTTGGGAGAGAGTGAAGCTAGTCGCCCATCAAGAATGATTAAGACCCAATCAGCTGGTATGGACATGAGACTATTTATGAGCACCACTGTCACATATTTTCATTTGGTATGCATGCATTGCTTCGTGGTGTTGTTCAGCCAAAATATAAACACAACTCCATTCTGTCTCTACAAAAAAAATACTTGTTCATCCATCGGCACGTTTGCTTTCCAGACCAACATTATCAAACGGCATTTGTTTAAGCTGGCACACATTTAGGACCAATTTCGACATTCAGGCTCTTTTCAAAGAGCGTCGCCTGCTTTTAATTTTGGCATGCAAATAATTACGACAATGTGGGCAAATGTTGTCACTTTTAAATGCACCGCCACGAGTCGGAGCTTTTATTTGTTTGTGCTCGACTTTGTTAAGCAAATGTCATGCACAAATCCAGTCTAAGCTAAGCCAAGTGGTATTTCGCCTTTGGTGCAGAGGTGTCTCCAGAGATTACGGAGCAGGAAAGATGCACGTTGGGGGAATTTGTTCATTTTCCGTGGGCAAAATTCGGTATCTATTGGTGTTTACCATGGCCAAATGGAGGTACTTTTGAGATAAGCGGTACATTCGAGCGGTCCGAAATTCGATCCGTCCCGCTCGTACAAGACACTCAGAGATTCAGTGCATCGATCCCCGTTCTTTCGCGTTCACATGGAGAAGCCACACGCAGTGCATGGGGAAGGGATGGGCTTTGGATTATGCCCCCTTCACCCACACGTGCCTTTTGTGTGTGTTTTGTGTGTATGTGCATCTCCACCGGTGCACGTTGTTTAATTTTCTAAAGTTTAATGAGATGCAAAACCCCGCTGTCTAGAGACTTCTCCTTGCCACCGATAACTGCGGGTTACACCGAGCGCTGCCGTGACATAGAGCCACAGATAACATTTGCTCCGTTTCACTCTGAAGATATTTTATTATCAACATTGGCGCTTTAATGGTCGTAAATTGTTTTAATTTAAAAAATAAATCGGGAACCTGACAGAAATCTTATTTTTTTGCAAACAATCGTTTTAAGTATGCATATATTTCGAGGCTTTGAAATGTGCTTTTTGACGGAACATTCACTTCTTATCACCCTCTAGCATTTTGTGCTTTGTTGTCGCGATAATGCATTGGCAGTGGTCCACAGGCACAAATTACAATAACTGAACACAGTGTAGCCTTAAAATGTTAAAATATATAACAGGTGATGTTTTAGACAGTGGTCTATTTTAAAAACAAAAATGGGCCATTGCCAGAACAATATATTATTTCAAATATATTTCATAATATTTTCCCACTTTTAAGGCAGTATTATCATATTATATATAATGCATCTATGATCCAACTACATTATGTTTTGCTCATTTATTTTAAATTTTTGGGCCATGTCTTTAAATAACGTGCTGCGTTTTCGTTGGCATCCTTAACAGTTGGTTGACACTGATTATTTTTTTTTTTACTTTTATTTTACATCGTCACCATTACTGCATTACCATGTTTACCATCGCCGCAGGTCCAGAATTGGCACCGGAGAGGCTTGGAGGCGGAGGTGGCCACCAGCATGAGCTCGTCATCACATGGCAGGTATGACGGCGGGCGGTGTGACATGCAGCGCCTTTCACGGCGCCTGCAATTGAGTGGCTGCCGAGAGCGATGCGCCAGTAACTTTACGTTCAAAGCGACACGCAAACAACAGGCGAAGAAAGAAAACGCACAGCCTCTGTGTGTATGCAATAATACAATAAACCATCAGCGGTTGCTGAGGAAGTGCAGTGTCGCGGTCGTTTTGTCTTAAAAGTCACCATCAAAATGTGCTCCTGCAGCAATTTGGAACGCTCTTTCTTCCGATATTATGCATTTTTAAATCTAGATTGAAAACTAATTTATTTATAACCGTTTCCCGTGCTTACTTCGTTGTCCTTACCCCGCACCTCCGATCAGCATCGTTGGCTACGTACGGCGCGCGAAAGAAGTTCAGCATACATTCATACAAAGCAGAGTCTAGCCGATTTGACAAGTCTGACAGCAGCAGTGACACAGCGATAGACAACTGTGTGCCGGCATTGTCCTCATAGCTCATCAGCACGGTGTAGTACACCAATGACCTCATTCGAAATTCGTTTTCCTTTTGTCGCTCAGCCTGTGGCACCGCAGTTCCAGTACGGGCCGGATGTCGGCTACACACTGGCATTCCGGGAGAATGGCACCAAAGCGTGGCGCCAAGTGACGATTCCGAAGGCGGAATCATACCGATACGTCTACCGCAGTGACAATCTGGCTCCCTACGCTCCCTTCGAAGTGAAAATCAAGATGTACAACTTCAACGGGGAAGGACCTTTCAGCAACAACACCATCGTTTATTCGGCAGAAAACGGCAAGCCCATACAAATGTTCCCTTTTTCTCTTATTTAAAAACTTGATATTTCATTCAAACCGTGCCTTGTTGGCAATTTGAAATGTGAGTAAAACAGTGTACTTGCTTAATGTCACGTGCGGAGGTGGTGGTGGTGGTGGTGTACGCATATATACACAAAAAACACCTACAACAAGGCCTTGATTCATCAATTGCGGTTGATTCTCATGCCCGTCGGTCGATTGGCACGTTTCGAGTGGTGCGGTAAAGTGTGGGTTACTCCAACCTCTTGCATCACGTCTGGTCGGTGTGGACGTGTGGGCCACAATACGATCCTGAGAGGCTCTCCGGAGCTGCCTCTAACGGAAGCTCTTATGCCAGCAGTGGTGGGAGTCGTCGATTGCAGGGCTGCACTTGTACCTGACGCCAACGATGCATTGCATTGAATCTTGTAAGAATACAAATAGTGATACCAACTGATTCATAGACGCAAGATCCAACAACTTGTTTATCATGAACCAAACAAAACCATGTTCATTGACGAAACGGATGCACACATATCTAATAATTGACACAAACTCCAGCAAATTGTGCACTGAGGTTCGCGGTCGACTTTCGGAGTGGACTTCCACCCTTTAAACCAGTGGACCTTAACCTGGGGGTGCACGCACCCCCTGGCGTGCAAGACATGGCAAAACAAAATTTTAGAAGGTAAATCATAAAAAAAAAATATTATGCACGGTCATGAAAGTACAACTACGTTGTCTCATCAACCCTATGTATTTATTAACATTGTAGATTTATTTTTTTATTTAAATCTTTCGTGACTGCAGGGATTCATATTCTTGGTTCTTTCGGTAAAGTCACATAGAAGGAAAACAATAAAAATATAAAACAATTAAATTCTCACGACGTTTCGACTGCAACACAAGCAATCATCATCAGGTGCGATAATATAGATGGACTCGTCCATCTGAACAAACTGTCAAATCGCTCTCCGTGGTGCTGACGTTCAAAATAACCGCCACTATTTTCAAATTTTCTTGCTGTGGTTTTCACACCTGATGATGATTGCTTGTGTCGCAGTCGAAACGTCGTGATGATTTTATTGTTTTATAATTTTATTATTTTATTGTCTCCCTTCTACGTGACTTTACCGAAAGAACCAAGAATATTGTAGATTTATTTTTTTACGAATGGGAACCAAAGGGGTGCAAGGCTACAGTAAAGGTTAAGAACGGCTGCTCTAAAGTTTAAGTAATGGTGCCACCCCCGGCAGTCACCCACGTGCTTCGTGGATCAAACAAATCACTCGGGACGCTGACTGGGATGGCAGCTCGAGCGGTTGTTTTGTGAATGCTGGCACAAGAGGTCACAACGTTTGGCGCGACGGTCCCTTCGCTGGCTCTGTGTGATGATCGATTTGAAGAACCCTGTTTCCCGCAAGTGGCAATGCATTATTCGCAGTGGCAAAGAGGTGTCGATTCGTTAGTGGGATCGTGAAGCCGAATCGTAATAATTAAAAGACTCACGGGGAAATGATCATCGTTGCCAAGCTTACACATGTACGATAAACGTTAAGGACAGCGATGATTAAAATTAAAATTTGTGTCAAGCAAAACTGGTGAGTTAACTGAGACCACAACAACAAAAAAAAACTTGCAAAGCATGTCGAAACTCTTCGACGTGATTCTGTGCCGCGTGCTGTTCACGATTCCCAATGTCGGACGTCGCTCCGAACAACACGCGGTATGAGCGTGCAAGCGCATCGGAGAGCCGTAGAACACCGCTCGCCGTTCGGCTCTGAAGTGGTAAAGCAATTGGCCCAGGATGAGCGAGAGGTCTGGCTGCGTGGGTTTCAAATCTCAGGCGCCACAAGGTGCCAATCTGGCCACTTGATTTTGTACCCTTTAATATGTCAACGCACGAATACATTTATCGAACATACACATACAGTAGTTGGTGTTTATCTTGTATAGTCACCCTCTTCTGATGTACGCCGGTTGCAGCACCAAAAGTTGCTCCGTCCAACGTGACTGCGAGGAGCCTGACGTCGGCAGAAGCAGAGGTGTCCTGGAGAGCTCCACCTCTCACCTCCAGCACAGAGCGTATCACTGGTTATGAAGTAAGGGCCCGTGTTTTAAACTCTCTTGTACCCCACCCACCACCCCCCCATTCGCTCTTCCTCTCTCCTCGTGTTCTGCCAGCAACGGTGATATGCCTGTCCATTATAAGGGCTGTGATTGTGATGATAACGTGGATGATGATGATGATGATGTGGCCCGGCTTGTAGCCATTGCGAGGTCCTGCATGGTGCGTGGCTCCCACCAGGAACCGACGGACCAAGAGACTCTCCACGGTCCGTGTCTCACGGCCGCATGTTGGCTCTTGACCTGCCTGACAACTCACAATTCGAAGGCGATTTGAACGTCTGTGGTTTTGTTCAGATTCGCAAGGTCCCAACGATTGTTTATTCACTTATTGCAGGTAAAATAAAATGCCTCTCACTGAAGCGATCGGTGGATAATTTAATTGAACAATAATCTTTAACGCTTAAGCAAATGGAGGGACACTGTCATGCGTGCTGTAAGGTTTAGCAGACTGTCCTGGCAAATCAATCTCCCGGTGTGGTTTCAATTTGATCCGATCTCCATGCCTCCAATTAGCACGGCTGGCTATGTACGGTGCGAAAGAAGTTCAACATAATACCTACAAACATCAGTCGAAATCAAGGTGAGCGTTTCTTGATTCCCCAGGCCTCTGCCCACCCAGCGGTATGAATGGGTATGCCGCAGTTAGTTTATCGGCAAGTCGTGCGTGGCGGAGTAAATCGTGGGGGCTCCCGGTTTTCAAATATGTCTGGGCAGCATGGAGAGGAGGCCAAATGCCATCGAGAGGAGCTATCTAGAGCTCACTTTATTGGAGGCCCTATCGCCAGCAGAGAAATGCAGGGATGCATCTTTGCCCTATTTAAAATATTGAACAAAACGCTAGGAGCCAATTTCTTATCTTGCCAAATGTTCAACTACAACAGAGCAAATCGCCACGGCATTGAATTTCGGCTATTGTGCCAATATCATACTCTGACCCTCAGTGTTTCCATGAATAATAAAAAAAATCCTCTCTACATTTATGCCATCTGGGCCACTTTAAGCCTTGTGGAACTACAGTTGTTATGCCATCTGGGCCACTTTAAGCCTTGTGGAACTACAGTTGTTATGAAAGAAGGTAAATTAAAGTTCAGGTTGAGATACTTTAAACCAAACTCTCTGTGGTGTGTACCACGCTTGTGCTAAGAATGCTGCAGGGTCCTTCGTGAGGATAAAAATAGCGTTATCGCAAACAAGAAAACAACTACGATTCTAGATTTGAAACTTTCGTGACTGCAAGGATCCATTCTCTTTGGTTCTATTCGGTAAAGTCCCGTGACTTTACCGAATAGAACCAAAGAGTATAAAACAACTACGTCTCAATCAGAATTGTCATTTCTATTTTTAGTTTAAATCATGGGCTTGGACGGCTCAAAGCTGTGCAGCGGACGCCCTTCCAATGTTCCATTATCACCCCACTTTTATTCAATTAACACGATCACACAACGATTCTTCTGGTAATCCACGGGTGCCATGGATTAATCACGTGACAAAAGTGAAGACAAAAGCTCGTCGCGTGAACCATTCTGCTTTCGCGCAATTAATCCCATGGAAGATGCCGTGCGTTTACAAATTCATGTTATACTGTAGCGATTTGCAAAGCATGTAATAGTATACTCTTTGGTTCTTTCAGTAAAATATATTAAATCACGACGTTTCGGGCGCAAAACAAACGCTTGTGCTGCGCCCGAAACGTCGTGATTTAATTTATTTTATTTAATACCCACGTGACTTTACCGAAAGAAACCAAAGAGTATGGATCCCTGCAGTCCACGAAAACTTCAAATCTAGATTCATGTAATAGCATGCTCCTCAAATTGTCCGTGTTATCTTGCAGCGTGTAACGGAGGGACAGTGCAACACAATCCATCGTTCTGTACTTTCCCGCTTTTCGCAACCCACACTGACCATCGTCGTGAAGTATGGTTAAAAAACAATGTCCCACAGCCAGCATCCAGCAGTGAATAGACACACCCGCAGTACATGATGTTCACATGCACATTTCATTGGGTGATCAGCGGCGTAAATCTTTGCACACTGTACTGTGAACCTTGCAACCCGAGTTTGATTTCTGGCTGTGTAATTTTTTGTTTTAAATTTGCTTCAATGTCAATATCTGCCCCATCTCAAAATTACAGAAAGAGTAACCACTAGTGCTGAAGTGATAACAGCAATATATCATTCTTTTGATACTAGATCCGTGACAAACATATCACCCGTTTTGCAAAAATATTGTGCTTGTTGGCATTCATTAAATTGTACCTAAATAGTAAAAGTGTTGACAAAATGTTTCTGAAATAACAATGACTCAAGTTCATAGTAATAATTAACAACGTTCAGTGAAATAGCTATTACCCGTTACATTTATGTTTTATAAAACCTTTTTCAGAGCAATTATATTTCGTTCAATCGTGGCGGGGCCATGTTGAGCGAAATGTAGCTAAAGTTACTTAACGTAATGTTTGCTTGCGCTAAGAGCACTGCAAATCACAACAAAAACAATAGAATGAAAATGTGAAATACAATTATGCATGTATGTACGTTGAATTTATTTTGCACGCTACATAACCAAATGTGCTAATTGGAGATGCGGTAGAAGGACAACAAACTAAACACAAAAACTGTCCTAAACAAATGAGCTTTCAACAGCAGCTTTCCTCCTCTTTCCTCCTGATGACGATCGCTTGTGTTGTGATCGAAACGTCGTCGTTTTTTGTTATTTTATTTGAACCATCAACGTGACGTTACCGAAAGACCCACAGAATACGAATTCTTTGCGGTCACGAGAGCTTTAAGTCAAGATTTAAATAATACATTAGTTTTCAATTTACATTACACAGTTGAAACTATATCGCAGCAACTGCAGAAACTATGTACGGGTTGCAAATCATAATTTTAAATTGACGCACGATGCTGTGACATCTGTCTCTCAGATTGTGTACTGGAAAAAGTTTGAGGGAGAGCTGACGGCCGAGAGTGCACGGACAGATGGCCTGGAATCTAGCGCGGTGCTCCAAAGTCTCACGGGCAGCACCGATTACCAACTGGTCGTGAAGGCATACAACAGCGGAGGCACGGGACCACCCAGTCACATCGCCCAGCTCGTCACCAAGAAGCCTCGTAAGTGTTACCACCCTAAAAAAAATAATTTATCGCAACAATTTTGACCCAGGGCAGCCTCACGGAGCCTCCTAACAATCTTCCGGTGGGTGAGTCAATTTCGAGGGTCACTATTGTTGTCGAGAAAAGCAAGCGATGCATTTTTTTACACGGTACAGTATTCCCTCGCTGTTCGCGAACTTTCATAACCGCTATTTTGACTTTCTGTGAATCGCGTCTGAAACTCTACACGACTGTATCGAGAGAGAAAGAGAAAGAAAGTGATGAGAGAGAAAGTGATGAGATTAAAAGGTGTGTTATGATCATTTTCATAAATTTAGTAGCTTATTGCCATGTTTGTTTAAGGTAATTCTTTTTTAAAAAAAAAATGCTATCCACGAGCATCTCCGGAACATATTCCTTGCGAATAGCAAGGGGATACTATACGGTAAAACACTGAAGTGAAGTAAAGTATGTGAATAGAAACTGTCGGTGTGGGTCGCCTGTTTGGACGATTGGCTTGCCACGTGAACATTTTTACTGAGCGTTATCACACGTTGCGTTGAATTAAATGGCTGTTGACAAACCGTGCTGGTAAAAACAAAAAAAAAATTCGCCACGAAAATCGCGATAACTGCAGAACCTTGTGGTGTGTGTGTAAGAACGTGGCATCGCATTGAAATTCACAGTGGAAAAAGTTTGGAGCCGTGGACTGATGCCCATGGCCAGAGCTTCTCATATGTTCTGGTTGGCTAATGCTGATAAAGTGTTCTGGCCAGCAGACATGACAATTATCATATCGGACTGTTGCAGGTGGGGCTTTTTCGTTATTTTTAATGAGAGCAAATCCTCCAGCCTCCTTGTGCAACAAGGGAGACTGAATTTCATACCAGCGTTCACTGCTCACGGCTCTGTGGATGGATTTTGGTTTTGATCATTAAAGTTCCACTGTGATCATCGAGATTATAATCATTGAGGGTGCATCCTGTGGTGTGCTGGATTTGTTCTGTAAATGTTTGCGACGGGCCATGTGATTTGCACCACTACGGCGCTTTCTTCGCTGTGACCGCGGTGTAGTGCATCGTCAGTATGTCTTGAAAAATGTTCTGCTTCGTGAATTATAAATTACAATGTCGAATTTTGGAGATCGTTGGATTTATATGTTCAACTTGTGTGCGGACTATCTGTGGTTTTTATCTTTTTTTTAACCACTCATCTGACGCTAGCTAGTCATTAAACAGTGTATCTGTTGTTTTTGTTAGCACCTAGCAAACCTCCAAAAAATATCGACTTGAAGCAGGATGGCACCAAGGTTACATTACACTGGGACCCGGTAATTGCCATGGAGAATGAATCTGCTGTCACTGGATACAAGGTAAATTGCATTCAAATTATTATTTGTTTGAGTAATTTATTTTGCTCGGCCATGCTCAGAGGGCTTGGATATAAAAATAATGAAAACACTGACAGTTTTAAAGCATCTTATCTGACAAGTTTCAAATATGTAATTAACAATAGCGAACACTGCCACATAGTCCTTCCTGTTCGTGCACCAAATAGTGTTCGCATAAGCAAATACTCGCATCATCTTCTTCATGCATTGGGAGCGAGAAAAATAAAACGTTTATGTCGCATGCATTGTTCGCCTCTTTTTTTTTTCTTTGAGAAAATGTTGTGTTTTTCTTCGATAATTGTAACCGTAATCATCGGGGTTTATTCATTATTCATGAATGAAAAGGTTAATTGCATTTCTTCCACCAATGTCGTGCATGCAAATACACAAAGTCACGCTACGGTACTTACGAAAATAAAATGTATTTTGTTTAAAAGAAATATAGTTTGTTACAGTGCACATTTAGAAGTGAGCCAAGTGCCTTTTTGCTATCATCCATTAAAATAGGTAAAGTTTGTACATTACATGATTCTGAATCAGAGGACATTTCCACTACAGCATTTTCAATTCTGGCAATCGCCTGATGAAGTCGGTTGTCACTACCAGCGAAAATGTCGTGCCCAATTGTTAAATGTGTGCGAATTACTCTTCGACACACTCCGCATTCTCGAGCAATAACAACGAGGGTGCACGATGCACAATTGCACTGCACTCACGTGATCTGACCCAAAATCAGCTGTGAATAATCAGTATCGTTTGTTTGCCGTTCTCGCACTACACAGGTGTCCTACGTGTCACTGGACAGAGGCACCGACAAAGCGATCATAACCAATGGCACTGGTGTGGAGGTGGTGCTGCCCGATGGGGGAGTGTATTCATTCGAAGTGCAGGCTCAGAGCGACGGAGGCTTGGGGGCCTCGAGCTCACAAATGAAGATACCCGACAGAACAGGCAAAGCGTTACTTTTAAACTACAGCACGTTAAAGCGCGTGTTTTAAAATGAAAAAAAAATAAGCAACCTTCCCCTTAACCACCGACACCCCAAAAATGGCTTTTATTCACCAAAGATCAATAATGTATGGTGATATTCTTAGCTCTTTCGGTAAAGTCACGTTGAAGGGAAACAATAAAATAATAAAATATATAATAATATTTCTTATATAATATTTCTTGTAATATTTCTTATATAATATTTCTTATATATTTTATTATTTTATTGTTTCCCTTCAACGTGACTTTACCGAAAGAGCTAAGAATATGAATTACTGCAGTTGCGAAAGCTTTAAATCAAAATGTAATGTATGGTGATATTGTCCGCTTTATAAGCTTTCACCTACTGACGTTAATTGTAATATACTTCTAATTTTTTTTTTATAATTCTGCTGCTGCATAATTTGATTGAGAATGTGTTTTCCCTCTTTCATTTATTGTCCTGGTTTTGCAGGGCTGAAGTTGGGAAGAGGACGTAACAATTCAGCAGGAATTGACGTGTGGAGTGTATGGGGCCTCATTTCACTGGGAGTGCTTGCCACTGGGAGGAATGGACTTTTATGAGGATGGGAAATTATGGAGAGTTTCAAGAATTAAAACTGCACTGAACTGCTAATGCTTATGTGGTCCTTGAATTTGAAATAAAGAATCACAGGTACAAAATGGTAAATTAAACATCGTGTTCAATTAACGTGTTTTATATGTACTCACTGTTTATTTCGAAAAGGTACGTGCATTGTATTGGGATTTCACTGCAGAATTCTACTTTAAATTCACCACTGCTCCCTTATTTCACAATTTTCTGTAATGCATTGAAATAATGGCTTTAATTACAAAATCACTTGTAGAAGTCTTCATTTTCTTGACAATGTATTTTGCTGAAGAGAAATACGAATGGGGAAGCAACATGTAAAATAAAGACGTCAATTTTGTTTTGAAACTCGAGGAAGAAAACAAAATGAAGGGACACTTTTCTACGATCACATTTTTCTGAAAGTTGTCAAGTAATGTTTGCTTGCTTTGATTATGTAAAGTTGTATATTACTTTTCACGCTTAAGTGAATTGACAATGCCCACTTTCCTCTGGGACTGCATCCTTACCAACGTTTCTCAAACATACAATGCAAGAAAGCACGAATCATCGTAGAATATCGTAGTGTTAAAGCACATGATATTTACCCATGTGTTACTCATTTCGTTCTATTGATGCAACCCAATGTGATCTGCACCCATATTGCTGAGAAAAATGGCATATGAACCTCATGGCGGTACCTCGGGTGGGTACCATAGTACCCCGGCTCTCGCATCATGTCCGTGATGCAGTCATTTTGAGTCTGTTGATGGTGGGCGATGCGGCAATCGACTCATCTCGACGAGCTGTACACGATGCACTGCGGTGTGTACGAGCGTTCAGGGTTTCGGCGCAATCGTCCTCGCTGAGTTTCGACATCGCGGAGTATAGCACTGATTTCGGATTGAGTGGTAACCCCAGTCGTGGAGTTAAGTAACACCCCTGGAAAAAAAATAGTGTCCCAGATATTAAAATATTTAATTGCCTCGGCCATTTTGTATTATTTGGTACCCTGTGGTACCGCTATAAGGATCATTTGGTTTTAACAAAGCCATTACAAAATATCATTGAAAGATGTATTGTTGTGGGAGTTGAATATTACTTTTGTTTAGTTCTTATAATGAACTTAATCTCCAAACTGAACACAGGGAAAAATAAATAAACTCACTCGTGCTATTTTGCGGTCAACACACAGGCAAATTAGTTCTGATGTTATTTTTGAGTTTTCCCCGCCAGTGTACCTCATAAGTCTTGTAAATTCTATCATTCCAAGGTGGAGAAAATCAGATTTCAGGAACAGGATATGTCTTAGCAGTAGCGGGAGCAGGCGTGTTCCGTAATGCACTGCGTTCATGGTAAATTAAGTGCGTTGCTTATTTAGTGATATTTAACAGACATTTTGTATCATGGTTATTTCATGTATTTTGGGAATGAAATATCAAGCGGTACTGTAGTTTGAACTGTTATTTACGATTCCTTGTTTTTTATTTCTAATTTTTTGGAATGTATTATACTAGCTGTGATGTTCTTCAATATAAAATCCTGACATTGTACGTGGCTGCATTGCCTTCGTTTGCACCTTCAACACGAACATGCCTTGACATGGTGGTGGCCACACTCACTGGGGGGTGGGGGGGAGAGACCTGAGCTTCCCTGACGTGAAATCCAAGCGTCTTCAACCGGTCACATTCATTCGTTTTCTAAGGGATGTCACGTATAAGGCAAAGGCGCAGCTCATCATTTGCTCGCTCGCACCACTGCTGACGGAAGTTCCTCCACAAGAGGGAGTTCTTATCGCGCCACTCTATAGGATATGTTGCCCTGCTCTGCTATGCCGGCCAGGCTTCTTGGAAGAGGTTTAAGTCCTCACACTTTACTCCACCACACGCGACCTTCCGATCTAATAACTGCGGTGCACCCGTATATACTGCTCGGTGGACATAGGCAAAGTTGTGAATGTGTGTGTCTGTTCAAAGTGTTAAGCGTACTTCCCGACATGCAACAAACTTGAAATTTGCCATGTGGGTACGTTCCAGACTGTACACCATGCAAGAATTATAAAAATACACTTTTGTATATATATTTTTAGCGGGGGGGGGGGGGGGGGAGCTCAATAATGCTTATTTTTTTGCACGGCAAGTGAGCTGTGACGTCAAATCTGTCACGTGACCCACGCACGTGGAAGCGTAACGCATTGTAGTGTAGCGGTGAGCGCGCCGCGCTACGAACCCGGCGACCCGAGTTCGATTCCCGCTCACTGCCACCACCTGTGACGATTATTTTTACCGGTCCTGGGCCTCCCCTAGGTCGACTCAGCATCAAACGAGTAACTGCTCTGCTGTGTGAACATCGCCACTGGGGAGACAAAGGCGGCGGGCGTGGTGACGCCAAGTCCCGGGCGAAGCCGGGTAGTACAGCTAGTACTTCATAGAATTTACTACCGCGTCCGGGAGATGATTCAAAACGGCAACCTCTGAATCGCCAGTCCAGTATGCTAACCATTCCACTGCAGCGGCATCCCCCCCATACATTGTGTACATTTCTTACGAATCCATGCGGAGGTTACATCAAGCGCTGCCGCCGCACACTCTCCACTCGCTCAAGTAAACACAGGTACGCCCTGCTCGCTTACCTGGTGCACAATATGCGTCCCTGATCCAGTGCGGGAATTTCAATCGCAGCGATGGGAGAAGTGGAGGCTTTAATGGTGGATGCATGGTCGTCCACTCTCGAACCTCTACGGAATCCTTTTGAATGAAGACTACATCTTGCGCGTGAATTCCATATGAGAGTCACTATTTGTCGATTGCTTTGTGCTATTGTACGACTGAATGCAGCGATTTTGTATAATCAGTGGGAATGGAACGTCCTGCCGAGCGCCAATTTTTTTTTATTTATATAGGTAAACCTGCATTGCACTATTTTTCACAAACCTGCCATTATGAACTCTATATATACACAGGGTATATATACCGTCACGCATGTCAACAGGTTTCTACATTAGACTTTGTTTTGGTTATGATTATGTTGATGCTGATTATTTAAATTTGCAATGCTGAACAGTGATTATCACCGAGTGATTGATCTCTACATTTTAAATACTCTTTTGGCAGCCAAGGAATGTAAGACCTTTGGGAGATGGAGCGATGAAATCAGATCGTGTGCAGGTGGTGCCAGGTGAATTGTTGCATCACAGGATGTTGAGAAGTAGTGGTGGCCTGGGGGAAGCCTTCATCCAGCAGTGGCTTGATCACGGCTCATGATGATGGTAAAGACTTCATTAAATTCAAATTGCTCTTGTAATGGGTTTAAGCATTGAGTCACCATGATTATAATGACGATGACGTAACTGTTTTATAATTTTGCACAATGTAGCAATTTGACCCTGTGCATATTCAAACACCGTTATTCCTGCAATGATGGAGAAAAGTCCGTAATTGATTAACATTGATAATTATCACGTGTTCAATTCAACATTTTATGCAAATCAGTGGTGCTTATTACAATCGTGATATGTGGTGAATTGCAGCACCTCTGCGTGTGAATAAGGGGTCTCAGACGCGGTCCTGCGATATCACCTTCCACGGGATGTTGTCTACATAGGGAGATGCATCGCTCTGCAAATGGGTTTATCTTACTCTCATGACACGGCACCGATAGCAAACATTGAAAAAGTGTAAACAACAAGACAAAAAGATGAATCTCTTCTTCTTTGGTTATTTCGATAAAGTCACGTAGAATGAGAATAAAATAATCAATTGATAAAATAAAATAAAAAGTGAGAATATTATTGGGTTATTTTATTTTATCAATGTATTATTTTATTCTCATTCTAAGTGACTTTACCGAAATAACCAAAGAAGATGAATCCTTGCAGTCACGAAAGCTTTAAATCGAGATGAATCTCTTTCCAAGACTTTCATCACACTTCCTGTCCATGGCAAAGTTTCACAGCGACCACCTCATCTCACACTTAAAGATCCGCGACTTGCCCGTGGAGAAGGCAGCGCAGCGATGGATCCTTGCATCTATTTGCGTGGAGCACCTGATGTTCTGGTTTCCTCCCACATGCCAAACCGCCATAAGTGGAATAGGCCAAACCTCCCAATTGCAAGACCCTTTTGAAAGTCTTGAGAAGCATTGAGGATTTTTTTTTGTTGGGGAAGGGGCGGGGGGTTGTCTAGAGGACGCCATATGCTCAATCATCTTTATGATTTAAGAAGATTAAAATCCGCCCATTGTGACCTCATTCCTGTCCATCCCTTGAAAAATAAAATCTTCCGTCTCGATTAAGGAAACAGGGGGCTCACCAACCAAAACATAATTATTGAGACACGTTTGGGAGCAGAGGTCCTGTCGAGCTGTCAGCAACTCCCTTTATCCGTGCAGTATTGCCAGCCAAATATACTTCATTTTCACAGACCACTCAAGCCTCTTCCTTGATTAAAGAAACCTCCACTTCTGGCATTTAATCCACGCGTCCTCACGGGAACTTATGAGCAGTGCTTGGCCATTCCAGGAACGTTCCAGTCGCGACTTCCCACAGCTCGACCCCACTGATCCATCAGGGGTTCCATGAGTTTGTCCTCTCCCCTGCATCCCCCTGCCAACTGCCCCCACTGACCCAACACCTCCCATCCTTCTGCAACCAAAGGAATACACTTATATATAAAACATTTTTGTCATGTTTAACGCATACCTGGGTTACAGCACGATACAATTTGGATTTGTAAAGCGTATATATATACGGCCACGTCTCAATACACTGTACAGATACAGAATGTTTAACTTATTTCACACAATGCAGCGCCAAACGTGCAAATCGGATTTTGTGGAGAGAGTCGCGGGCCTAGGTAAAGGGGAAGGTTTTTTGAGCCTGCACTTGAACAAGGACAGGGGAGTTGACAGCACGGATGACTGGGGGAAGGGAGTTCCAGACCATGGGGGAAGCAGACGAGAATGAACGACCGACCACGGAGTGAAGGTTGATTTTTGGAAAATGAATGTTAATATCTCTGCAAAAAGGTAAATCTGCAGCGATGCATTTACTTGTTCATGCCACTGATGGTGGAAGAGCCTCTACTAGAGGGAAGTCTAGAGAGCTCCTCTAACGGGAATATGGCCTACTCTTACACGCTATTCATAAGTCTTGGAATAGTTGGCAGTACCCACACTTTACCTCACCACACACGAGCCGATCGACAAACGGTGGCATACCCATGTGTACTGCTGCGTGGACATAGGCACCGGAGCAGAGTTTTAAGAAACTTTCTCCATTTCTTCAACTGTCATGCCGGAAGATCGAATCGCAACGGGATCCTCTGGATTGCAACAGCTATATGCCAACCATTACACCACGGCAACATTCTAAAATCTCTGTACAGTAGATGTGTAGAAAAACATGTATCTGTAATCCAGTT